TGTTTGTGTGTGTGTGTGTGTGTGTGTTTGTGAGTGTGCCAGAATCTACAGAGCTGTGTAAATCTGCCTCTGACGCTGCTACCAGCGTTGATTCCAGAGACTTATCTCACGTGACGCGCCATTAAAACGATAGAGAAATTAGGGATACCTGGATCTTACCCCACCCGTGCGTGACTGCCAGTAGGGTACTAACAGTCTGGTTAAATCATAGTAATAATTATCCTGGCGTGAGAGGCGAAGGTATGCCAGGACTTCTGACAAGATAATGGGAGTGAATTATTAGTCTGTATCTGAGCTGCCTTGAGGTGTGGGTTACCGTCTACTTGTGTGTCGTAGACATATCTGAGAGGAAGTTTGGGATTTGTGGAACGAACTAAAATTAGAATGTAATAAACTCTTAAGGCTTTGAATTGTACCGCACCTGTTCCATTCATTCATTCTTTCTTTCATTCATTCAGTCTTTCATTCATTCATTCATTCATTCATTCATTCATTCATTCATTCATTCATTTACCCATTCGTTCATTTATTTTTCATTTTTGTCTCAATATTTCATCGTTCATTTTTAGAAGAAAATACATTTTGTTTCTTCCATTTGTTAATGAATAATGCAATTCACTCCACTCATTCAGTAATTCTTTTATCATTTATTATTCTTTTATTGACTGATTTTGGCTTTCATTTCTTGAAAATTCTTCCTTCATTCACTAATTACTTTTTGTGTTCACTCGATTGTTACTCACAATTCAGCTACTTTAATTTGAATCCAACTATTACTGTTGAACTTCATTCCATCTCTTTAGTGTACTCGCAATTTAAAAAAAAAACAGCTTTAAGGAATATTTTGTTACTCTTTTCAACATCATGACAGCTGTGATTTTGTGTTTTTAAACAATCGTTCATTGATTTATTGTTCTGAGCACAAATGTATGTTTTAAAATGTTAAATGATGACATGTTTAACGTATGTGATTCCAACGCCTTGAGAAGCACTTGTCAACCACAAGTTCAATGCTGTGTGAACACGAAGTCTTTGCTATTTATTGTCTTGTTGATATTTGTACGTGTATTATATAAGCACTGTTATATATGCACTGTTAACAAAATGTTTGTGGCCACAGTTTTAACAATATGTATACAAATGAAAAAAACTACAAGATTGTCCTTACTAAGAAGAGGGATGGAAGAGAAGGAGGAGGAGGAGGAGGAGAGGAGTAGGTTTCTAACTTTTGGACTTGTGCGCAATGCAATGCTGACTAACTACGACATGTGTGTATTTTTACATGAGCACACGACATCGGTTTATATTCCCAAAGCAGCTTTCTCTGAGGGAAAAAAGCAAAAATGATCAATGACCCTTGTGTTCTAAGTAAAGCTGTTGTTCATCTATCTATTGAAATTGCTTATTTGCCAGCGTGCAGTAGTATTACTAAGTTCTGCCAGCTGTAAAGTTGTTTTCTGATTACCTTGGTTGGTTTTTGTCAGCTGTAGGCATAAAAGACTGAAGTTGTTGGAACTCGACCCAGATCCGAACCAAGAACTTGTGCCCTTTGGTTGCTTTCTTAACCATACTTTACGTAGCACAGTGGCTGGCAAAAAAAAACAAATAAAGCAAACAAACAACAACTTTTTAAGATGCTATTTTTATGAGCAGTAAACTCTTCACCTATGTCAAATGTCTGCATACTTCTTGATACTTTCATATTCACTAAAACATGACCTTTGCCCTCTCCCTGCCACCCCATCATTGTCCCTCCATCAGACGGTATCATTGGTAAGTTCTGACAATCTTTTCCATTTGACTTGACCGCTTTGATATCTTAGCAGAGGCTGCGCTCGGCGCGTGCGTGTGTGTGTGAGCCTATCTTTGTGTCTCTCCGCATCAAACATTTCACTATCCCCCCATTGGTGTTGTACTGAATGTGGAAGCAGCTTTTGAGACAAGACTCTTTTATCATCAGGTGGAAAAACTCCCTGCCTACTAATAATCATTGTCGCTCTGTTGTTGATTGTTTTTCATCCTTTTCCTGTAATGTGTAGTTTTGCGTGAAGTATTCTTTTGATTAGAGGCCGGGAAAATACCTGAATGTGGAAAGGGGAGAGCGAGAGCGAGAGAGAGAGAGAGAGAGAGAGAGAGAGAGAGAGAGAGAGAGAGAGAGAGAGAGAGAGAGAGAGAGAGAGAGAGAGAGAGAGGGGGAGAGAGATGGGGGGGGGGGGGATAAATGTATGGAGTTATTCTTTGTATTTGTATTTTTATCCCCAAGGCATGATTTTGCAATGTTTATGTCTTTTTTCTTATAATTTTCATGTTGACACCAGCATGCTTTGTTCTCACTAAGATGTGCATTTGATGATAAATTATATTTTGATTGCAGACATTCCATCCAACCTATAATTCAAGAGAGTTTAAGAGAAGGCAAGATTTCTTGTCTACACGTGAAAGTTAGTTTCGGTTCATCTTAGTAAAAAAAATAACACGTTATGAAAGACAAGTTAATCAGCTTATGGCATATTGTTTCTGGTACACACATACATAATATACTTGCACACAGTTCGTACTGCAAAACCCGTAGCCCCACACGCGTACACTCAAGCAGACAGACACACATCCACAAACAAATATACAAAAACACACGTCTATCTGACAGGGACTATAGTTCCATTCAGCCTGGCAATATGCCATATGATTATATAACCTTTCGACTAATCGACGTAATTCACAGACACTCCCATTGCACCACCCACCCACTCCATTTCTCTGTCTCTCTCTCTCTGTCTCTCTCTCTCTCTCTATCTATCTATCTATCTATCTCTCTCTATCTCTCTCTCTCTCTCTTTCTCTCTCTTTCTCCTCTCTCTATCTCTCTTTCTCTCTCTCCCCATTCGTATTTGCCTTCCTCTTTTTTATGTTCTACTTTTAAAAATGTATTCATGTCTTTATTGTTTTGTTTTCTTGTGTTTTCTTTTCACCGCTGTCGTCAGTTGTGCATTTTCGTTCGATGTTGCATTGATAGATAGAAAGCATTAGAATCATTGTTACATGTGTGTGCATTAGCTTGCTGTGTATTTGCAATCCCATTTTCGGTTGCTTTTTTTAATTTTCGATTCTTTGAGAAAGCTTCATTGACAGTCCCAGCCCGCCGCAGACTGACCCCTGCTGTCAATATATATGACCTGCTATCACACCCGTGGCGTTTTATGCATTGCTTAACGTTTCAGAGTTGATTGATTTTCATACCCAAGAGCCAGTTTCTTATGTTGTGTCCCGTGTGTGATTTGTTGCACGCTTTAGAATGTTTTTATGTTTTGCAATGTGACTTTAGAATGCACGTCATTTCTACATGCGCTGACTTTACCACCCCACCCCCCTCCCCCCACTTAAAAAAGGGGAAAAATAAACAGAAAAAAGTCGTATCTGCGTAAGGCTTCGTCTTTCCTTTTCACTTCTGGCAATACATGTGATGACGTCAAAGCAGGCTTTTAGATGGCTGTGAAAGCTGTGTTCAGTTTTCACTGTTAAGTACACTTTATATCGTGATTCAAGCTTCAGATTTAGAAACAAACTGTGTTGGTCATGGTAACGAGGTTATAATTTAATTTTAAACAACACTCACTAAACGTTTTGCTTTTTCATATTTTTAGTTTACAGTCTTAAGAATATGAAATAGAAAAGTCAGGTGAACGGTAACTGCATTGGCGTACATCTGTATGCTATTGTTTAAAATTGTGTAAAAAGATTTGGAGAGCGCTTTTAATGCAAGTTTTCAAAGTCCTACATAATTTTGTAATTCGATAACCACTTACACTTGTCATGCACCTACTGCGATACTAATACCGACTGTCTTGCAAGTTGAGATTTCCTTGCTAGGTCCCTGATGCATGCCCCTGCAAGAAATAGAACCAACAATCCTTTCATTTTCTTCTGCTAAAGAAAGATTACATACTACTCTCAAGTCTCATAGCCCCTGATAAGTGCTCGAACAGAATTATCATAATAGAAATTCATATTTCATACAACAAAGCAGATCCTGATATTGAACCGCCATGTTCTTTGATACAGGAAAAAGAAAATGTACAATGTTAAAATATAATTAAATATCTACCGGAGCAAACACTTTTTTCTTTCAGTTAAGTTACACCTCACACAAAATATTAATAATGCAGGAAACTGTAACATCTTTTGACTCTACCAATTGGAATATCTTAAGCATGACCTGACGTTTATATCAACATCTGAAAACGTTCTTCTGTATCTCTGACATGGTTGTTCTTCTCTTCCCCCCACCTGCGCGCTCTTGCGTTCCGCCACTGCTTACAGCCCCAGGCCAGCCGGTCATCATCCCAGAAGAGTGCTCTTGTGAGAATAACAGCGTGACCATTGCCTGGGCGCCTCAGATAGGCAGCGTTGTAGAAGCTTACACGCTAGAGCTGGATGATGGCAATGGTGGAGATTTTAGGGTGAGTACATGTTGAAAGAGATCTATTTTCTTCTTTATTCTAATTTTTCTTTTAATCCAAAAGTAACCTCAATATCTTTTTTACTAAACTGTATCATTAGACAGTCTTTTTGTTCACCAGAACTCTCTCAGATCAGGGTCCTCATTCTTCTTCCTAGGACACACTGACCATTTGTGTGCACTCCTCCCTGTTTTACTTTAAAAAAGTACTTTAAAAAACATATTCTCCTTTTCTTTCCCTCATTTTTTTCCCTCTTATCTGTTACATTACTGGTCCTTTTCCTCTTTTTTTTTCTGAAGTTCGCTCTTGAACAAACTTGTATAGTCTGTCTTTTACCTTGGGATTTTTGTTTTGTTTTTAAGGAATCAAAAAAGCTTCTTAAGAAAAAAAGAAGTTCTATATTACTTATAGTAGGTGTTGTTTTTACCGTCTTTGTTAACAGTCGAAAAAGGTCAGTCATTGTAATAGCTGGGGAATGGGACTTTGCACAAACACTTTTAAACTCAGAAGAGGCAGCAACATCCAATCGATGATGTTTCAACGAGATAAATAAGTTTAGACAAAAGTCGCATACATTGACATTACGACACTCGAGTTCGCAGACAGATAGAGAAACGTCATGACAAAGAAGAGACTTTAAACAAAGCCACTTCTGAGGAAAGTTCTTATAAAGGTAGCAAGAATCCATTGATCTCCAAAGCAGAAAGAAAAGGGATTATCTTTAACTCTATTTTTTATATTATGACTAACTGACAAATGCATTGTTTCTGAATAAGTGCTGACACAGCTCGATTGTTACCTATCTTAAAGACACCAGGCTGACATTGCTTGAAGTTTTAAACGAAATTGATCATCTCAACGACTTAACACTGACGTCTGTTGTCTAGCGGTTAGTTTCTTTGCTGTTGCATTCAGAAGACCGATGTTAGATATCTAAATTTGGATACATTTTTATCGAATATCTCGGTCTTTTAGCTGGAATGTTGTATCCCATTCAGCTTCGTTTGGCCCAGGCAGGCAGACTGAGATTTTTTTTTGTCAAAGATGATGGGGAAAACTCTCTTTTCCTTGAGCTGCTTCTACACCCCCACCCCTTCTCTCTCTCAAATTCTCCCCCCTCATCATCCCACATCATCTCTCTCTCTCTCTCTCTCTCTCTCTCTCTCTCTCTCTCTCTCTCTCTCTCTCTCTCTCTCTCTATTTCCCTCTCTCTTTCATTCTCGCGTGAAAGAAATGTTTTCTCGCGTTACTTGGAATTTCTCAAATTCAAGAAAAGAGTATAGTAACAGCAGGGTGGTGTTATTTTGCTCGGAAACTTAAATATTTTGACACTTTAGTCACGATCGTTGAAGACACGAGCCATGGAATGACTTCGTCTGTTCAACATCTAAAAAACAGATCTCCACGGAACCAAAATTGTGTCTCCACCTCACCATTCAAAAAACAATCTTTGATCGCTCCTGCAGAACGGTAACAGCCGAAGCAGGTCGCGTGTAGTGCGTAACGGCCCAACTTTACTGAAACCCCTAACACTGATATCCCTGATTCTGACTTTACGAGAGTGATGAATTAAAAGACGTGACGCCAACACAGTCTTGTGATCATTTCGCTATCGAAATACCCGTCACTCCCTAAGTGTTTTCTTTGTCTAGAGTTTCGCATCCCGTGACCTTTTTTGAGTTCAAAGATTACAGGGGTTGTAAGAAAGTTCTCAAGTTCACAATTTTCCGTCATGGTCGTTTGATAGACGACCAGCCACATCTCATTGTTGGTCGTAAAAAATGCCCTGGCAAAAATAAAAACCCCGCACGAGATATTTCAGCCACCAGGAGGAAGATTGAGACACTGTGACGACGAAGGGAAGTGTGAAGGGATGACGGGTCAGGGGAATCGCTCTGGCTTTTGAACGCAGCTGAAGTCGATACTTCTTTCTCGAGTGTTAGCAGAGAGCTTAGAATCACCGCTGCGGCAGTATAGACCGACTGACTCTCTGGTGTTAGTTTAAAAAAGTGAAGGAAATTATTTTTTTCTTTAACAGACAAGAAGCTGACCTTGTATAGCCAAGTATTTCTTGTTCAAGCTTAAGAAAACTTGCGAGAGGTTCAAGTCTTAGAGTAGTGGAGACATTGCGGTTTTTAATATTTTTATTTTCTGATTGCAGATACCCACCTTTCCTGAAAATATTAGGAATGAATACAGTAAAGTGGTAATAATAGACACACGATTAACCGTTCAGGAGGTGGGCTACTTTGTCCCTGCTAAACTGGTTTGAGATGGAAGCAAAGAATCAGAGGACAGAAGAATAATTATGTTCGATTATTTTTTAAATTAAAATCGAACTCATTCCTTTTACGTGCGAAGGCGAAGTACCAAATCGCTACACCTGTAGGGTGACTTTTTGGAGATTTTCATAAATCATTAAAAACTATAATAATATTGGCCACCTCTATTCTCACCCGGAGTGAGAATAGTGCAGGCGAGTCTTGTGGCTATTCTCAAGCGGTGCGCGTTCACCAAATTTTGCGTTCACCCTAAACCACAGAATTCTACACTGTGATAACAGAAAAATTGTAGAATTCTGTGCCGTGAACAAACGTTCCATTACAACTGTAGCCTACTAAACTAAAAGCGTACAATTTTGTCTGTGGGCAGTGGAGAGAGAGAGAAAGAGAGAGAGGAGTAGCGCGAGAATTTCCGGGCAAAACAAAATGGCGACCCGCGTAGTTCGGCTCGATTCGAAAAGTTAAATAGCCGTAGCATCTTTGTAGACAACCAAATTAATTTACTTTTGGGTTTTAACATCATTTTTAAACTTTGTTTTGGTCATATTGATCGTCCACACCGATAGACAGTATTCAGAAAGAGACAGAGAGAGAGAGAAGAGGGGAGGAGTTGACCTTGCGAGAACTTCCGGGCGGGTGAGAATAGCCACTTTCAATAATATTATACTCACCGCGGAAGGAAGAAGCTTTGTTAAAAATCCAAAGTGGTTTCAGAATAACCACCTTAGTATTTGTACCCATTTTGTTCTGAAATATGTTTTCCCTTTTCATGCTGGTTGCTGACTTTTTAACACGAAGTTAGTTTAAAACAACGTTGTTTCTGTAACCGTCATATGCCAATGTACGTTTGAAGATAGCCGAAGATACTGATAACTGACTCACGAGGGTCTTCTCAGAGAAAGCAAAGAAAGCAATCAACCAATCAATAAACAAACAAACGAACATTCTCCTCCCCCCCCCCCAATGAAAAAAAAAACCCCTAGTCAGTTCTCCCAAGCATTTATTATGGTATCGATTACGAAATAATCGTGTTTTGGCAAAGCATAATATCCAGACGTAAAGTCGTCGCCCGCGCATGTCTGGTGTGTCAGGGTTCATTTCTTAAGCAGAATTTGATGGCATCGGGCACTGCATGCCTCACGGTACGCACACACAAAAAGAAAATAACGGCCTTGCCTTTGTGGGGGGAATTTTTTGTTTCATTTTGCTCGTCATTTTGTGTAAACTTTATAATAGTTCGTCATGGACAATGAGGGTTAAGTGACCCGTCGTGTTTTTGTATGTGTCAGCCGCGTGGATGTGGTGTATGCCTAGTCATAAAATAGAAGCCCTTACAGGGCGTACCAGAGAGACGTTTATTTCTATATTTATTTTTTTCGAGGGATCCATTTCAAAGAAACAATAAAAACTGAGATTATTATTGTTAAGTCGCGTGTGACGTAATTAGTTGAAGGATGGGTTTTTAAACCAAAGGTACCGACAGATTTTATAGAATGTCCCTGTCTTTCAATTCAGTTCAGAAGGGAGGTATCTGTGTACTATTGGTACCGTTTTGGCCCACCCAGTGCACCATCCTCTAGAGCAAATTATAAACTCAAAAAGGGGGGGGGTATTTTGAATTCTCTGGGAATCGACTAAATGGTACTTATATTTCCAAGGCGATTGTACCTACTCCGCCCAACTTGACATAATATTTTTCATAAACTAAAGAAAAACAGCCTCAAGAATGGTCCTTTCATCTTCTTGCCCGACTAAAGAAACGTGTGGTGTGTGTTTGGAGTGGTACTGAAAGTGGATTGGGGGAAAACTTTAAAATGGAAAAAAGGAAAGAAACAAATTTAAAAAGATAAGACACTATTTAAAAAGAAATAAGATGGGGGTTGACCCCAGGTTGAACAAACGGCCACTGCATTTCAAAAATCAGAAAAGATTAGTTGTAAGGTTTACTTGTACAAGAATGGACATGCGAAGGTGTACGAGTCGACAACTTTGCACACCCTTAAGATTCGTTTCGAAAAAACAAAACGTTACTAAATAAAAAAAAGAGAGAAGAGAATTGCTAGTAATAGGTGATGGGTGTTGGGGAAGGGGTGATTATTTAAACGCATTTTTTAAAAGTATCTGACATTGGATATATTAATGTTGAAAATGCCCCCCCCCCCAACCCAAACACACACAGACACACACAGACACACACACACACACACACACACACACACACACACACACACACACACACACACACACACACACGTACATACACACACACACACACACACACACACACACACACACGAATCAAGAAATAAAAAGCAAGCAAGCAAACAAAAGAAGTGAAGAAATTACAGCGGGAAACACACCAATGGAAATGTTTAGTTGGGAAAAGCGTCGATCTGGAATGTAGATCATAATTATAATATTATGATCGTTTATGTCTACCCTCTCACTGACACGCTGAGCTCAGATCACGTTATATGTTTGGATGTTGCAAAGAGATGGGCAATGACTACGGCACAAAGTATTTTTTTTTTCAACTCAGCGAAAGGGTAATGTGGCACTCCGTGCCGGTATAAGAGATTTAGTTCATAAATGGGCATGGTTGTTACAGCGTGTCTTCAGACTAACAGAAAATGGATCTCACTTCATGCGCGGTCTGCGTAAAGGAAATGATGCGGTTAGGATAATGCAGAAAACAAACACGGTATAGGAATACGGTAG